GCGCCCGCCCGCCCGGCCGGCCCCGGGTCGCGGAGCGGGAGCGGGGGAGCCGCTCCGCCCGTGGCCGGGGAGCGCCGGGGCCCTGCCCACGTGCGCCGCCCCGCGCCCCATCCCGGGGCCCGGTTCCTTACTGCTCGGGAGCCGCCGCAGGGCCCACGCTGGCCCCTTCCCGCCCTCCTCCCTGCCCACCGGGGCTGCCCGCAGCACCTTTCTTCTTGCTGGTCTTGTTCCCCCTTTATGCTCTCTATAGCATAGTTAAACTCATTGTAGTCTCTTTATAAGTGTTTCGAATTTGTGTAATGTAACCCAGGGGGGTAGCCAGCCTGCCTGCCTCCCTGAACAGCCACCTGTAGCAGAGCCAGGAGAGCCCTCCTTGGGCTGCTCGCAGTAACCCAGCCCCATTGCACAAGGGTCTCCCATCCAGCACCTTCCCTTTTCTCTTCTCCAACACCAGGGTTTAGGGCTGTGGGAAACCCTAATAATTCTTCATCGTCCTTGGTTTTGGTCACCGTCACCTAAGCGTGTGTGCAGTGGGGCAACCAACACTTTGGGGAAAGGTCTCCTGAACTTACAAGGTGGTTGTTCTTTGGCCCTTCCCTAGGAGGGGAGGAGAAGCAATTTCATACAATCATTTTAACATTTTTAAAAGTTTTCATTAAGATAGAAGAGCAGGAAGTTCTTCAACACTTAAAGTCAAATGTGTTTGTTCAGCAATACAGTTGCCTCAAATGAAATTAATTTTAATTCATTTGTTAGGCAATCACAGCTCCTAAAAGATAATATATAGAATAGAAACCTGTATGACTTGATCCTTTTTCTCGGTTTTCAGGAGAAGTTGAGATGTTATTAGCTCCTAGAGGGAGAAAGAAAAGCCAGCAAGTAACAGAAAAATAGCAATAACTTCTTTTCTTAATAGATGTAGCAGAATTATTGTTAGAGCCTTACAAAAACTAGTCTTTATTATGTCTAGCTGTTTTGCTCTTAGAGCTGCTGAAAGATGTGCTCTGCTTTTTTTTTTTTTTTTTTTTAAGAGCATGAATAACAATTCCTAGGCCAGTATCCAGTACAGATACTGAAAAGTTTAAGTGATGCATAAGTTAAAATCAGAGGCCCAAATATTTTACAATTTTAAAAGAACTGGCTTAGGTGTCTGCCTCACTGTTGCTTTTTTCTTTGCAATCTCATTATTGGGATACTGTAAGAACATACACAGTGATTTAACACTTTAAATAATCGGAGGAATGTTAACCATTTTGTCCAAACCACAGGTCATGAGAATGAACTAAGTAAAGGTGATTAGACAGCCATTATATATTGACTTTTATTGCTTTACTTTTCTATTTAAATGGAAAATACAATTTTCATGGTGTTTCTTCAACACCATAGGTACCTTCCTAGCAATTTTCATTCAGTTTAAAAAAACACTAAGGATTGGTAGAACCAATTGGAAACAAAAATTGTTAGCATGCATGAAAGTGCTATTTGGAAAAATAAAAATCTCCTTGAGTGCTAGTTCAGCATTAAAATACAGTGCTTGTTTTTAGAGCTAAGTGATAACTGTGCAGATTTAAAGACTTTGCCACCTGGGTCCTCGTATTTATCCTTGCATGGCAAAGTTGTACAAGATAGGTGTGGTGAAGTAGCATGGGAGACTGATATATTTGGTTCAGCCCAGTTTGTCTAGTGATCTGTCCAAAAACATCTGTAGTAATCTTTTCATATGACATTCAAATGCTTATATTTTTGGAAACAGCTCAGTGCTTTTTTTTCCCCCCTTCTCCTCTCTCCCCAGTCTCACACAATTCTACTTGTTCAGCCCACCAAGAGGCCAGAAGGCAGAACATATGCTGATTATGAATCAGTCAACGAGTGCATGGAAGGTGGGTATCTTGCTTCTCTAGTCACCAATTGCTGTTAAAGCCTCATTTTTGACATATTCCCAAAGGTTGCTTGGTAAGAAAGTTTACTGTCCCCCAAAGACATCGCAAGATATTGCAAAAAATATCGCAAGATATTGCTCATTCTTTCAGTTTACTCATATTTTATGAGCTAAATGTATTTTTCCTTAGCTTTTCAAAGTTTTCTATATTAAAAAAATCATTTTGAGTTAAGTCAAATCACATCACCTTCTGAAACTGGGTAATGACCCCTGTTGTGGTCTGGCAGTAGATCTGTTCTAATGCATTTCACTGCTGGATCTGATCCTGACTTTTTATGTTTTTTTTGCTAGTCATGTAAAGGAAATATTGCTATTGGAAATAATAGAAAAGTACGCTAGGTCTAGGTTACTAGGACAAAAATATTGCAAAACTGCAGAATCTGAAGTAGTAATTCATGCCTCTGTTAAAATGGCAGTCATCTCTCAACTTTCCTGTCTTCTGTAGTTCAGTATCTGAAAGAATTCACAGTAAATGGAGTTTCAGCATTGCATTATCTATCTTTCCTTTTTTCTGTAGGAGTCTGCAAAATGTATGAAGAGCATCTGAAGAGAATGAATCCCAACAGTCCGTCCATTACATACGATATCAGCCAGTTGTTTGACTTCATTGACGACTTGGCAGACCTCAGCTGTCTGGTGTAAGTTCAGTTTGTGAAATCTACAGAAGGAGAAAAAGGAGGATTTTTCCCCTCTTGGTGGGAAAACAGTTGTTACTTCTAGGAGGCACTCTGTGTAGATAGTAGATGTAATTTCACCTTTTTTTTTTTTTGTGCTTCAGACTTTTATAGAATCCCTACATGAATTGCCTGGAGCTTTTTAAACTTCAGAGTAGAAAGGATCACTGGTCTTTGTACTTCTGCCCCTCAGAAGCCTTACATACAAACTTTTTTAGTTAAGCATCTCTTAAGAAAGCTTAGAAACTAACAGTACCACTTTGGTTTTAGTCACTTTGAGGCTCCTAACATTTCAGATATAGGAATGGAACAGTTTAACACACCTACAAATTTTAGTAAGGCTGGCTAGAAAGTTTAAATCGGTGTTACATCTGCCTTTTTGAAGTTAGTCTGGATTTTAAGGGGCCAAAAAGTCTAACAAGTTTTTATTCAGCTGAGAACTATGCTAGCAATACGATAGAAGTCTGTAGAAGTGCATCCTAGTCAGCTGTTTACTTTTATCAATACGCAGAAAGATGGAACTTTTGTAAATCCTAATTGAGTGACTGAGAAAAATATCCATCCTAGGGAGAGCCCTAGTTAATTATTTGGATGCCCTTTGAATCCAGAATTACATCTGACTATCTTCAATACTTTGCATGCTGACTACATTGCAAAAAAAAAATTTTTAGTTTCTAGTACTTAGTCTATAACTACCATTGTAAGTTAATCACTTAGTCCAGATCATGGCTGGATTCTGTAGCATGAACATGTTTTGAGAGGACAGTGTTATGAAGCTTGACAGGAGTCCTGCAGGAATAAGGATGCAAGTCTGATACTCAAACAGCAAGAAACATTATTTGACCTGCTGAGCTCATAAAATTCTAGGATCTCTTTTTCAGCCAGTACAGATAGTCATACTGCTGTGTTCAAAATCCCCATGTGCAGATTTACATATAGAATTTGACCATGTCTCTGTTAACACCTTGCTACAGAGTCCTTTAAGCAAAGTTGTCAGCAGTGTAAATAAAGCTTTAGCACAGTTTCTGCAGGCTTGCCCCGCTGCTCCACCTTCTGCCATGTTTGCTCTTCAGGTGCCATAGGGCTGGCCCGAGACAGCTGAGAAACGAAACAGAGGCATCTCAGGTGCTGAAGCTGCCTCCTTGCTGTAGGAAGCAGCAACTGCTTCCTGCTGGTCTGGTCTCTCTTGTAATTAGGTTTATTAACTTAGGGTCAGGGCAGATTCTCCTCCAGCTTGCAGTTTCCCACCAGATGGCATGTGCAGCACGTAGTGTGCTGCTGCGGGGCTTGTTAGCTCATCTTGCAGTGTAGCCTTGTAACTGCGTTGAAAATTGTTAACCGTGCAGGAAAACTATTGTTTCTTATACCACAGTGAAGCTAGTGAAGTATTGATAGTAGTGAAACCTTCTCTGCAGCCTAGAACAAATATACTGAATTTTAAATAATGAAGCTTCTGTTCTGCTTCAAGACCACAGAAAAGGCTTTGATAATATCAATACTTAAGCACTTATTTTTGTTACCTTCGTAGTGTATTATGTTTAGGGTTTTTTTTTAAACACCATATGTTAAAACATTGAAATTGAATTAAATAACTTTCATTTGTACTCAGCTTCTTACCAATGACCATCACTATTTACATGACTATAAAAATGCATTGCAAGACTTAGAGCCTAGACAGGGCTTCAGTAGACCTTGAAGCATGTCCTGTAATTTATACCCGTCATCAAAAAGTTCATCCAGCTTTAATGGCCAAAGGGGGAAGAAAGAGAATGAATGCTAACAGCTAACTTGAGGCACTTGGCTTTCATTTTCCCATTTAAATCTACTTCAGTTCATCTGTGTCTTGAATGACCAGGTTCTCTGGGCCTGACACATCATCTTGCTAGTGGGCTCGCTTGATCTCTTCACTCTGATTAGCAAAGAGAATTAGTCTAGGGCAGGGGGTCTTGTAAAGATTCCAAACATAGTTGTAACACTGCAAGTGCTGAACACCTACTTGAGTTACCTAACTGAGTATTTGTCTCATTAAGACAAATTAAGTGATGTCTCCTAATGGCACCCTTTGTAATTCTGAGTTTTAGAATATAAAGGTGCACTGTTTACTTTCTCTGGCAAGTAATTATAATCATGAATTTGAATGTGAACACACTATTTTACAGTCACTCAGTAGTCCTTGGAGCATCAAGCTCTGTTTCAGATTGTCAATAATCTACTGGGTGACAGATGTTTATGGAAAAGGATAAGTCTTACATAGCAATTCCCACTTACTACGACTTGTATTTTGTGCACAATTCCTTGCCTTGTACCCTTGAGAAAGCTTAGCTGCTTGTGAAGCTCTAGTGACATATCCCACAGGGCTGATTCTACATTAACTCTTTCCTCTTCTCTAGCTACCGTGCCGACACTCAGACATACCAACCCTACAATAAAGACTGGATAAAGGAGAAGATCTACGTGCTCCTCCGCAGGCAGGCGCAGCAAGCGAGCAAATAATGGCAGCAGCAGCAGCACCACGCGGGTCTGGGGGCGGGCTTGGACAACAGGCGTGTACAGAGTGTAGTAGTGAAAGTTTTGTATTATAGTCGTCCTGTTGCCATCTTGTTAAACTCTTTAGCCAGGACTGAATGTATTCTTAGAGATGCAAGGGGGTTGTTGGATGGGGAAACTTTTCTTTTGGTGTAAATGGAGAAGAAGGCGCAACATCTTTGGCAGAGAGTTAACATGTTTTTTTTCCTCTGGTTAGCTGATGGTCCTACCTTATTCAAACGCCAGGGCTGTTTGCATATTACTTCACCACATTCGCTGTATGTGCCCTTCTGTGGGGTTTCCAATATTTAGTTATGTCCTTCAGACTGTCTTAATGGGGAATAAAAAAATATCCTTTAGTTAAATTTGAGTGATGTTTGGTTTTTTGACAAAGAATAAGTTCAGCTTTTCTTGCCTGATTGCTGAAGAGTGAGACTTGAGGGGTTATGCACATTTAACAAGTTAACTTCCCTAGCCTGCCTTTGGTTGCTGTTTTTACTGCAGATTCCTGGGAAACAGCCAGCTCCTGCACTGTAAACTTGATCATCCTGCAAGGCGTTTATATTTTGGCAGATGTGCCTGCTCCCAGGGAAAGATGCTGTCCTTGTAAGTTTGCTTTACTGGAAAGAAGTATTAGAGCAGCAAAGCTGGGGAATAGATGAACAAAATGTTTTGTGCCTCTGCCTTAGCCCGGAGTTTGTCTTCTGTAGGTACAGGTCTGAATCCTAGACTGTATGGGTGCATTTAACCAGAAGCAGTTCTAGAAATAAAGGAGAAAAAAAGCCCTCTCCAGCACATCAAGTTTTCTGAAACCCATTAACTGCTTCTGATGGGCCTCACAGCAAATACATTGACATGAAAGAATGTGATTTGAAATTGACAGTGCATATCAAAAGCTTTAATGAAAATAGCTTCACTTAACTATTAAGTGTTACTGAAGACTTAAAGACAGATTACTGAAGGAAAAAAAAAAGGAATTTTTTGATATCGAACATCAAAACAATGTTAAGTTGAAGTGGCAGCAGGTACCCATCTACATACAGTTCCCTGATCTCCCCTTCTAGCACAGGCAAGTTGCTGGGAGTCATAGGGAAAGAGATTAAACTTCTCATCAACGTGAATACAAATTGGGAGATGAGAGCTACAAGTTCTGCAGTTATGGTGTCCACGAATCCATTTAATTTATTAACCTCAAAACACATTAACTTGTTAGAGTCTTGTCATCTCAGCAATTAAAGTCTTACCAGAAAAGACAAGTAAAAATCCCTCCTGGAGCCAAAGTCTGTGAGCTGCTAATAGGGAAATACTGTTTATAGACCACGTGTAAGTCCTTTCTCTTAAGTGTCTTCTCCTTCTCTCCATTTCCCCCCAACTACAGCAGTTTTTTCTCCCCTGAAAAATAAGCTGCTCTTTTAAACGTGAAAGTACGTGGTTTGAGTTTTTGTTGCCTTTTACTTGATGAAGTACTCATGAAACCACAGATTTGTTCCTTAACAACAGCTGACTGTGAACACACTTCAAAATAGGCTGCAGCATCTTCCAGCTGTATAGCAGGCAAAAAAAGAGGACCCAGTAAGCTGACTCCAACCAACCACTGCTTTCAAAACCACAGAACAGACAGTCCTGAGCATTTGGAAACCCAAAACATCCTAGTCTGCTTTCTGCTGACACCCAGGAAGTATAATCTGCTTTATGAGGCCAACTGAAAAATTAAATCCTGGATTTGTTTCATGTCAGGAAAAAAGGCGTCCTGTTAAATGCTTTACCTCCTTTCTGAAATCCTTTTGTTGCATTTCATCTCTGCCTGAGCTTTATCTCAAGCAGCCAAAATAAATGCCAACATTACACCCAAAAGTTACATTACATGGGGCTCATCCCATAATCACCACTATCACTGTGCTGTAGCACTCTTTCAGCCACGAGTTAAGTACAATGGTAAGAGTTCCTATAATAAAAGCACGAGCAGCAGGGATTTCTTTTTCAGCCTTGAGCAAAGATCAACTGAGATCCAGAGACATGGAAAGTCTTGAGATGTTTCTTGACTGGTTCTTTTTGATAAAGCATAGTAGTGTATTGAGGGCTTTCCTCAATTGCAGCAGTTCTTAGAAAAGCAGGGAGACACTTACCAGGGGAAACCAAATGTTCACATGAGTTCAGCTATTGGAAAAGTGAATTTAAGCAGCAGAGTGCACATATTACCCGACTGCAGAAAGTCATATCAGGAAGGGATCCAGTGTCTGCCTCGCCCAACAGCAAATTGGTGCTACCAGCAAAAAGGGTAGGTGTAAATAGCAGTGGTGGTGGTAGCTGCTACATCATGGGATGAAGTAATAAAATTTGATTTGCTTTTTCTAAAGGAAAGTGGTACAGTAATGTAAAAAGGGAATACACTTTTCAGAAACAATATTCTCAGTTGTATGAAAAAATACATATTTAGAACAAGTTCATTAAGCCTGCCGAGCCTCACTTCAGAAAGATTTATGAACCTTCTTCCAGTGGGAAAATAGAAGCAGTGGAGCAACCGACCAACTTGCTTGCCTGAGATCAACTTAGTTTATGGAACCACAAATCATGCTGCATCCTAATCACAGGATAAACAGCCTCTGATCTGTCTGCTACTGAAATGATTTCAGGGTGAGACATTTAAAGCTACATGTTGACAAGCGCAATACGTTTTGTGGCGCGACCGTTTGCTAAGCAAATAATAAGGGGCAGGTTCATAACGTGCATGCAGAAGAGAGAAGGAAGTTCTGAAGTTGCTGCTAGGATCTCACTGCCACAGGGGAAACAATAAGCTAGTTTGTGACGCACTGAAGACACAGGAACTCCTTAAGAAAACTTACCCAAAGAAAGGATGGGAATGGTCGAGCTACTTTGCTTTAGAATATACTGTATGCATTTGCAATTCCCACCAAGTCATAGCCTGACTGTATTAAAGCTATGTTGGAAACCATGCAATTAAACAACCCATCAGGAAAACTAACAAGCATTGAAAGTCAGCAGTTGCTGAGTTACAAGTGTGAAGTAATCTCAGGATCTTGTTTTTCAACCACTGTTGAAAAACAACTGTTTTCAACAGTACTGTTCAACTACTGTTGAGCTACAGCCAGAATGTAATATCATTCCTTCACTCACCCTGCCAAAAGAAAAGGAAACTATGAATTCCCAGTCTTCCCATTTTCATAAGACAGTTTGGGGGCAGGAGGGAGAAGAGAGGAACATAAGTTCTCAGCCCTATGTGTGTGTATATAGGTTATAGTCAATTTTCTTGCATAGGTTATATACATACACATACATTGCGTATAATACATTAGATGAAATAGAAAATAAAAGCTCTACTAAAATGATCAGTTCTGAGAGTTTTTTCCTCAGAAAGCAACTTCTCTGCTACCATCCTACTCAAAGGCTGAAAATTACATTCCGTGCACTGAAATACTGGAGGAATTTATTTACAAGATTCTGACCCATTAATATACACTCCCTCACTATATCTGAAAAGAATTAAAAAAAAGAAAAAAAACACACCACAAAAACCACCCCCACACACAAAAAACCCACCACACACCACCACAAGCCACCTGGACCTGTCACAGGAGAGCATGGGATGCGACCATGCGACCAGTTTGTCACCTTAAGCTCTGTAACCTCACTGTAAGGGGAGCTGTGCCAGTCTCAGCAGTTTGTGGCTGACTTTGGGCATGACTCTGATCTACAGGTTTTTCTTCCTCCCCTTTGTGCTTAGCTCATACACGACACAGACAACTAAAACAAACCGCACTGCATGTACCCACTCAGTGCCATCCCCTGCAGTGGATTAGCAAGTGTTTTGCTAATAATTTTAGGTTTGCTCGTGCACTAGTCAATCTCGTGGCGCAACCCCTGCAGTATCTCCATGGGCCTTCCAACTAAACCTGCTATTACCTTCCCCAGGCTTCGCATCAGCAGCAGTGACAAACCCACGCAGCCTCGGCAGCCACACAACACCTTGTGTTCCAGTCAAACCTGAAGCCATCCTTGCGCTTAGGGGCTATTCAAGGGATTCTACTCCCTCGCTAAATAAGATACGTCCCACCCAGGTTACTAACACAGCAGGGCTTCAGCTGGCACACTTAATTCCTTTTCTCCTATCACCTTCACTCAAGACACAGGCATCATTTCTAAGAGAGTTCGTAGCTCCTGCACCCGGTTCATGGTGACACTGGAGCCCGTCACTTCCACAACCAGTAGGAAGCAAGTCAAGTCTTTGCTGGGCTGGGCTTATCTCACAGGTTAAGAGGCACATTTCTCAAATCCAGCCTTGTTTCCATTGCATCTCACATCCTCTCCAGAAATTTAGCTCTTCCTACTAGCTCGCTGCACCATCTCCTGTTTAAATTCATCTTTGACTGAACACAGTTATTCCCAGCATCTCCAGCTTGGAACAAAGCTCACCTATCTTTCATAGTGCAAATATCTCCCTTTCCTCTATCAAGGATGAATAATTTAACACCTCCTGGAACTGCATGTGTTATTTCCACATTTGCATCACACTCATTCACTCAGTGATAACTCAGCACAATTTCTACCCCTTTCCTCTCTCATTGCCAAATTAAAACTGTCATTATTCATTCACAAAGAAACATCTTCCTCTAGGAAGGCAGAGAAAGAGCAGTGTGAGAATAACCAAGCAGTTAGCGCTAATTGGGATGCTCACCTGGGATACATCAGAGGACTCGAGACCTGTTTAACACGAGCAGAACCAGCCTGGGTGAACCACGAAGCTCCCCTGCTGCTGCTCCTGGGGAGAAGGGCACCCAAGCAGGCCAGCCCCCACTGCAGGAAACACTTCCCAGCTGAGAGCCCTAGAAAGAAATAGGCACCTCCTTCCAGCTCATTAGTGGGCTAATGAGCTCATTAGCATATTGCTTAGCCTAAGCAGCTCCCTGCTCAATGTGGTGACCTCTGTCAGTCTCATTCCCCAGGTCCGGTTCTCCCTGAGCACAGGAAGCCTGGGCATCACAGTGGGGTCATCTGGTGGGATGGCACCTCACAGAGCTTTATAAAAATAACCCTGGACACCTCAGATAAAATGTTTTAAGCTGTTTTGGTGGAAACCTCATTACTGCGTCTAGGCATGCTCTTATGCCAAGTTAGATGTTACTTAAAACTACTTGCAGAGCAAATGAAGGCCCAGCTTCAAAGGGGTTTGCAATATAATTCAGATTTTAAAACCTATCTGTGTAACTTGCCTAGGCTCTCATCTGACTCTCCTGCAATTAGAGCTGCAATATCTAGTGTCTTTCTCCCTTGCATATTTTCCTTATTGTTTCCACTAGTCTGGCTGT